CAGACCAGCGTGAGTGGCCCCGGTCAGTGACGCGGGCCTCGCGCGCGGCGCCTGCGTCGGCCGGTGACACTCGCCGTGCCTGTCCGCCAGCTGTCGGTGGCCTTCTCCCGGGACCAGGAGCACAAGGTGTACGTGACGCACCACCTGCGCGAGCACGCCGCCGACGTGTGGCGAATCCTGGGCGAGCAGCACGGCAACGTGTACGTCTGCGGCGACGCCAAGAGCATGGCGCGCGATGTCAACCACCTGCTGACGGAGATCTGCCGGGAACGCGGCGGCATGAGCCAGGACGAGGCCGACAAGTACATCAAGACGATGCGTTCGCAGAAGCGCTACTCGGAGGACGTGTGGAGCTAGGTGGCGGGCCGCCTAGACGTGCGGAGGGCAGGTCCCGGCCGAGACTGTCAGGCCAGGTCGCGGCCTGGTCAAGGTCAGGTCACGGTCAGGTCGCGACCCGGTCACGACCAGGTCACGGCCTGATCACGACCTGGTCATGGTCAGGTCGCGGTTTGATCACGGCCTGGTCATGATCAGGTCGCGACCAGGCCACGGCCAGCCCACGGTCAGGTCAAGACCTGGTCACAACCAGGTCATGGCCAGGTCACGGCCTGATCACGGCCAGATGATCAGGTCGTGGTCAGGGCATATAATCGCGGCCCGCCGGCGACCGGCTCAGGGCTGAGGCGGCGGCAGGCGTTCAGTTACGGCGGCCCCGGGGCGCGTTGGCCGGGACGGGCGGGTCGCCGGCGCCGGGGGCTCGAGATTCGACGGGAGCCCGCCGGCGCTGTGGCGTAGTAACGGGACCGCTCAACGGCAGCCTGTAGTCGGTAGTCCTGTTGGCCCGCGCGCCGACTGCGGCGCCGATCGATTGGCATCTTCTCTTGATTTTCTGCAGAATACCGGCTGGCTTCAGGTGTACCCAGTAGAGAATAGGGATTGTTATTGTCGTATGAAATGACCATGTCACGTCCCGTGATGTGTAGGAATACTATATTAATACAGCGGCACTGCGGCATCGCCACCGATCCGCGCCAGCAATGAAAAACAATCCTGGCGTCATTCGGCGGTGCTTGACGGTAGTGGAGCGATGACATCACGGTGGCAGTACTCTACCTTCAGTATGCCCAGACGCACAGATCAATTGACAATAACCCCCCCCCCCCTCCCCCCCAAAAAAAGATACTGAAATGCTCAGAACTGCGTATGTAGGCTTTCGGCCCCGTCCGTGAGGCGGATTGTCTTGAACATTTTCAATCTGACGATATTTTTGTCTACCTTTTCTCCCAATCGTGGGATTCCACAGCGCTGCCCTTTAGAGACCATTCTGACGTGTACGTCTTGACCACACCACTTTCACCCGTGTGGGGTCACGGCCGCGACTCTGCCAGCCCTGTCCACAGCCGAGCGCCTCCCCCGGACCGCCACGCCCGAGTTAACCGGCGACGCGAGCCTGGGCGGGACAATCTCGCCCGGTGCCAGCGTGAGGCCGGGGCTCGCGGCGCCCGCCGGGCGTGCGCATCCCTACGCGACACGCGCTGCCCGGAGTGGCCGGCGCCGGTGCAACGAGCATGCCTCGGCCGCAGAGCAGGCGTGACGCGGACTCGACACCAGCCGCGCCGGACCCCGTTACACAACAGCAGCCGGGCGGCGCTGTCTCCCAGGCCCGCCCCTCTTGGTCCGTGCGGCGACGGCGGCAAGGCTGGGCGACAAACTGTTTCGCCACCGGCCCGACCGGTCCTAGACGACCGCGCGGCGACGCCGGGCCACCTTTCACCGAGTCGCGGGCTGGCCGGAGTGCAGAGAACGACCGTCGGAAAGAGTGTATTGACCGCGGGCACGAACGTACAGCGAGTCATGCGTTGGCTCGGCGGGCCGGCTACACACGGCGAAGGTGAACTGGAGGCGGTCGATGATCCCTTTACTGCGCGGCGTCCGGTGCCGGCCAGTGCTGGAGCTGGGTCCTCACGCGGCCGACACGGCCGGCGCGCGCTTCGATGCGCTTTTTGCACGAGTCAGGGTGCGACAATGTGCCTGAGGGCACCAACAGTACGCGGTTTTGTACAGGCCCGCAGTTGTCCGCGCTGGCACGGCTGCACTGGCAGCGTGCCCCACGGGTCGGCTGTCGAGGCCGCCCCGCACGCGGAGCGCAATGTCGGGTCCACCAGCCGGCAGCGCGGCGCCCTCACGTCACCACTCACCGCCGCGCCCTGCTCCGCGGTGCATGCGGTCACCGAATGTTTAATCGTGGCCCTATTCACAGTTAGTGAGCATCAACACCGCAAATGGCTCTATCGTGCATTCGCACGCGCAGCGATTGCAATACAAAGATTATCGGCAGGTCGTTACAGGCGGCCGACTCCGCTCCGCGATCACACAAGTTAAGAAATGGAAAACGAAAAAAAAAACATCCTCCTGCCGGGGAGAGTCGACGGACACCGGAGACGCCAAACCCCAGCCAACTACGCGGCCACAACCAGCTACCGAACCGGACTACGCGGTGGCCACTATGAAGACCCCGGCCGCCGTATGGACTACAGTCACCCGCCCTAACCACGCGGCCCATACCCCGCCACTATACACTATTCTTGGCTGCCGGGCCTCTCACCGTACCCGTGCCGACCCTTCGCCAGTCAGGCTGGCCCGCCTCCCGCCGTCGGCAGCACGCTACTCTTCCCAGGCGCAGACGTCGGGCCGGCACGCGGCATTTCTACTGTTTCACCTACATGGATGTCTTTGGCTCTAAAGGAGGTCAAAGGCCTATCGGGATTGGGACGCCTGGTTTACGTAAGGATAGATGAAAAAGCAACTCCGGCTTATACGACAGAAGCGGCCTGCGTATTGTCTTTGTTTCGATGGATCCAAGGTAAAAGCCACCGCCTTTAAGGCGACAGAAGAAAAAGGATTATGAAACCACTAGGCAGTCTCGCATTTCAAAAATCCATCGCTCGAAGAACTCTTCGTTGCCAATAAAATATACCCAATGACATTCACACGCATCATTGGCCCACCAACGTAAGCCAGCTATGCTTGAAAACTCCAGCAAAAGGTACCCTCTTGCCAAAGGTACCCGTTGGAGGCATTTTGCTTCACAACTTAACTTCCGAGAATGCAAAGCGAGCCATGGCCTACCACCTCCCAAAGCCAGGACCCCTGCGACGCGCAACACGACGACCGACCGTCCGCTTAAATATCTGCACACGCTACGCGTAAGCCATCACAACACCAGCCTGACAAAACACCTGCCGTGGGGGGCGCCGCGTCTAACATCCAGCGCCGCGCCCAAGATCCAGCGCCGGCCCAAGACCCGGCCGCGCACTCGGGGACGTCGCAACTCTATCACGGACAACAGATAAGATACGAAGAGGTTATGGTAGGCGGGGGGCGCGCGGACGCGCCAGCGGCGCGGCTGGCGCGTCCCGCCGCCCGCCGCGTCCCCACCAGCCAGACCCCACAGCCAAGGACCATGTTCACGAGCGGCTGCAGCGCGCGCAGGCGGCACCGGCCCGCACAGTCGGCTCCGCACACGGGCGCACATCGAAAATAGGTATGTCGGGACACGGGATGGGAGAGGGAGGGAGGGAGCGGGGGGGGGGGGTATGTTATCCGGCCGGCTGGGGTCAGCCTTACGCCTGGTTATCGAACCAGCGCGCGGCGCCGCTCTCCACCAGCTGCTGGTTGACCAGCGAGATAGCCGAGTTGCGGTACTGAAAAAGAGACGCGGCCGGGCGTCAGACGGGCGGGCCGGGCGTCAGACGGGCGGGCCGAGCTCCGGCGGCAGGTCGGCAGCAGCGACACGGGCACACAACACACCCAGCTGCCTCAGCAGCGCGAGCGCCGGTCGCCAGCGGGCGTCCGGCCTCACACGACACGACACAGCGGCCAGGCCCCACTACAAGCACACATTCACACGTGCCTGCACGAACGCGCTCAGGTGTCACAGGCCGACGCAGCCGCGTGAGTCACTCGGCATTTGTTCACGAGATCGATAACAAGCCCACTGTTTCGACGCCGAACGGGGTACCTGACACGCCACTGTCTAGCCCGACGCTGCATGGTTTGGAAATCGGGCGAGTGTTCGCCTCAATAACCTCCATTATGACTCACAAGTCAGGCCCCGAAATAGCACCTTAGCCTTTTTATAGCGCACTACGAATCCATCTGTATCGGAATCAGCACCATACTAATTGCAAGAAGGAAATTTAAATTGAAAACGCGACGCTAACACCACGCATTTTCCGACTCAAGCGCTTCACGCCTTAAACGGCGCCAATTATGGCTTTTACCTACACGAAAATCCGGGCCCGCTGGTGCACAGGCTGGCGGACAGGAGGCTCACCTCGGTGACCTGGATGGTGTACAGGTTGACGAACGGGGTACCGTCCTCGGCGTAGCCCACCACCATGGCCTCGAGCGCTCTGTCGGCGATCAGACTCTCCAGCACGGCGCCGGCCTCCACGCTCCAGCCGTCGTCTGCGGCACAGCCGGCCGGGCTGGGTCAGGGTCACCGGCCACCACCACCGCTCCGGCAGCCGGCCGGGCTGGGTCAGGGTCACCGGCCGCCGTCGCCGCTCCGGCAGTCGGCCGGGGCCAGGGTCACCGGCCGCCGCTGCCGCTCCGGCAGCCGGCCGGGCTGGGTCAGGGTCACCGGCCACCGCCGCCACTCCGGCAGCCGGCCGGGGTCAGGGTCACCGGCCGCCGCCGCCGTTTAGGCACCCGGCCGGGGTCAGGGTCACCGGCCGCCGTCGCCGCTCCGGCAGCGGGCCACACCGCAGCCGATGTGCCGTCACGAACACAGTGCCGGCAGGCAGTCAAACGATCACGCCCCAGCGGAGCCATTTCTTCACACCCTCGTACCAAACCGCCAACCCGCCTAATGGCTGGCTGGCACAAACGTCGCCACTGCGCTAACCATACAGTGAAAGCGCGTGATCCGGTGTGCCTGCAGATACAACGCTGAGTATCGCACGGTTTGAGGTCCATGCCAAGGTCACGAGTTGACCGCGTCCCCAGGACCCGGCGAGGCGTGGGTCCCAAGGTCACGAATAACACTCGCAAATCACGACAGTTGCACGCATCGCAGAATAACCCAAACGCGACGTGACTGCCACCTCCTCCCCGAGCGTGCATTTGGAGCAACCTTACACAATGTTTTGCCTCGGAGAGCAGCCTCCCTGTTCTAACCCGCACCCTCACACACCTCCAATACTTTGGGCCGTCCACAACGCACACCACGGACCCCCGGCCTGCTGCCCCTCCCAGCAGGACGCCGGCGCCGGCCGCGCTGTACGCACCAGTGAGCGGCATCACGTTGGCCAGGTAACACTCCTCGGCCTGGAAGGGCAGCGACATGAAGTCGGTGCGGATCTGGCGCACGTGGCACGCCTCCAGCCGACTGTAGCCGCCGTAGTCCATGAAGCGCACGTCCAGCTCGTCCGAGTCCGGGTAGTAGGCGACGGCCTGGGCGCGGTACCAGCCGCCGGCCACGGGCGCCGCGCAGATGGACGAGGCCAGCACAGGCCGCGGCAGCTCGGGCGTCGTCTCGCCCGAGCCGTAGCAGGCGTTCATGAGCGCGCCGAGCCGCTCCAGGCCGCGGAACGTCGGGTGCGTGTGTTGCTGCAGCACCAGCTGGCCGGCGCTCACCACCGCCGACACCAGTACGTCGCAGGTGACCGCCTGCGGCAGGTGCAGCTGCCGGCCCGCCGGCATACCCATCGTCAGACGTGCACCTGCGCCCGCACACACACACACACACATATACACGCACACGCAGCGCACGTGAACTCGGAACAGCATATCGCCCACGGGCGCGAGGCGCGATCATCCGACGAGCGAGACGACACCCACACCGCAGGGCCCTAACCGGGCCGGCGAAGCTTCGCCTTCTCAGGCGGCTCGTGCCGACCACGCAACGCTGCATGGACAGTCAGCTGACCCGCCGGCGTCCGTCGCCGACAGCGAGCGGCGTCTGCGCGTCGGGGACCCACCTGCTGGCTATCGGGCACGGCCAGGGCCTGCTCGGCCGGCCGGTTCAGCCGCTCCAGCGTCATCGTCGGAAACTTGGCCACCGGGAACTTCTCGCGGATCATCTTCAGACAGGCGTCGATCTCCGGCTGGGTACCTGCGGCCCAGCGTGACGCCGCGGTGTACAGTCATGAACCGGCTGGCCGGGGGTGGCCCTGTTTCTCCTCCCATTCAGTCATCAACGCACCGGACTGCGGGGGAGCCGACCGTAGCCGCTTGTCGATGGTGTCGACGCTAACGAACGCAAGCCACCTGATGCATCGCCTCACTCCCACAAGCCTTCATGCGGCACACATACATGGATTATTCCATGGTTCTCATTACTCTCAACGCCACGTTTCTTGCCCTGTAAGCCTACTGAACGCTTCAAACAACGTACGCATGTCTCTCCTGCCATCGCTGGGAAGTCGCACACGTGCAACAACAAACCGCGAGCTGTGCGAGATGACAGTATAACACTCACCGTCGACTGAACATATCTTAACGGACGACTTGACCGGGTGAAGCCGAATGATGACGTTGGCGCCCGTCCTGGCCTTCAGCAGGTTGACGAACGTGCCGTTCTTGCCGATCAGACGACCGCACAGTTTCTGCGGTCATCAAACCCGATTAGCGGGCCCAGCAAGCCGGCGGAAAGCAAGCACGGGCCCCCATTACCGGCCGGAAGACGCACAATGGCGAGTCAACATCGACAGCGAATAGCACGATCCCACCACCACACAGTCTCTTGTTGTTGATTGGAGTTTTAGGGCGCGCCGACTACTGCGGTCATTTTGCGCCCACCCACCCACACCCACACCCACGCACACGCACACGCATACGCACACACACACGCACACACACACGGTCTCCTGAGGCCGACGCGTCCCGCCTCACTCGCCTGCGGTATCAGGAAGTCGTAGACAGTGGTCTGCAGTGGCGCCGCCGCCTCGGGCGTGTTGGAAGGTGACGCGTGCTCCAGGCTCGCAGAGCTGCCTCCCTTGCCGCTGTCGCTCGAGTTCTGCGCACACCACCAGGCCCGGTTACCGCTTTCAAATACATGCTAAAATAATTATCACATTATATGTCATGCATGGTGACCATCTTAATTGGCGGATACAATTAAAAATACGCGAATTATGGATTGTTAAAGAACACGAAATTAAAAAAGGCAGAATACACGAATTATGTATCAAAACGATAGCCCACCTACACATGCGCACAACAGTCAACTGGTCTCTGCTCTAGCCCAGTTCAGTACCACAGGGGGACTGATCTCTTCACCGAGTTACGCTAGACAGGTCGGAGCCAAGGTTCGGCGGGTGCCGTACCTCACTGGCGCTAACCGCCAGTCTCACCGTACCTCGCTGGCGTTGTCCGCCGCCGTCTCGGCTTGGTGTCCGTTTTGAGTGGGCTCCGGCGCCGGCTCCACGCCCGGCCCGGCTGCAGCCGGCTGCCCTGCGTCCACCTCTGCGGCCTCGGCCGCCGGCGTCGACGCCTGCAGCGACTCGCCCGGCGCCTCGACCGGCGCACTCCGTCTGGGCCGGGCGCCGCCCACCACGCAGTCCGGGTCCGCGGGCGCGTCCGACGGGCGGACCGCAGCCTCGATCTGCTGGAGTGTATCGCCGCCCGGGCCCAGGCTCCCCGGCCCGGCCGGAGGGGGCGCCTCGGTGTCACGCTCAATGATCTTTTCGCACACATCCTCCGCAACAGGCTCAGGTGTCTGGGGCCTCGGCGCCGTCACAGTCGTGACCTGCGTCTTGGCCGGCGCGGCCGAATGCTGTACCGACTGTTGGCAGGAAAGTTGGACAGGCTCCTGCACCGGCTCCTGGACTTGTTCGCGTACCGGCTCCTGTGCTGCTTCGTGGGCCGTCTCCTGCGCTGTCTCGTGGGCCGGCTCCCGTGCCGGCTCCGGCTCCGGCTCCCGTGCCGGCTCCGGCTCACGCGCCGACTCCTTGGCCGCCTGTTGCCGCTCGCCGGCCGGTGGCGCCGGCTCTGGCCGCGTCTCGATGTTGTCGCGCACCCAGGCAGTGACCTGACCCAGGTCACGGGCGGCCGCCAGCTCGGCCTGCTCGGCCGGCTCCGTCTGCTGTTCGGCCTGGTCCGCCTGGTCCGCCTGGTCAGCCAGCTCGGCCGACTCGACCGACTCGTCGGGCGGCGGCTCGGGCGGCTCGTCCTCGTGTCGAGCGCGCCGCCGCAGATACAAGCAGATCGCCAGCACCGTCAGCAACGGCAGCGTCAGCACCAGCAGAGGGCGGCCTGACATGACGTCTCAGCTGGAAACAGGAGACTCAGCTGGTGATGACGGATAGAACAAGTGAGGTCCGCCCCCCCCCCCCCCCCCCCCGTTTAAATATTGGCTGGCTTTCGTCATGTCATAGCATGACAATTTTGGTTGACATGTTGAGTTTATTTGTACTTCTTTGCTTTGGTTACTGTGACAAGTGCATTGAAGAAAACCACTTATATCTTGGATGAATTCCGGTTGAAACAACTTGGCCTATGCACCTATGTAACAATCACGGCCCAATATGTCTCGTTTTAGGACTCCAGCCACTTCCACATCGGAATTTTCGAAATTCGTTTCCGGAATCAGTGACATTGGTGGGATCCGGGTCTAACGATGTGTTTCAGGTTTCACCTGCTCCGGTTTCAGAAATCTTACATAATCGTTAACCACTTGCGAAGACGGCCAGATCCACGGTTTGCGCACGCGCACGTATGGGTCTGCAATATCCGTCAGCATAAGATGGCCTCATGTTGCTGCGATACCCAGCTGTTGACATCTGGATCAGCTTTCGACACGCATTCTCCTGTTGTACGTGGGGCCCCGGTTCGAATCTCGATTTCCCCACGGCCCCTGCGTACTAACGTGGTCTGCGCGGGCGCTGGGCCTGGCGCTCAATAGCAATGTGTGTAGCGGCGTGCGTCGCACACTTCACAAAAATAGCTCGGGCGCTAGAGTCATGCAATTCTCAGTTAGCTCACGTTAAAACCCGTTCGGGCAGCTGTCTCACTCGGAAGTGCAGTTTAAATAAAAAAGTGCATCCCATGTGACATATTCCATCGAATATTAATCTCTTTACCTCTCTTAAACTATAGTCTCATTAGAATATTCACTCATTGGAGCAACACTGCTCACAGCCATGACCTGACTTATTCCCTTAAGGTAGCCTAAAAAGGCTAGCAAACATTGAATAGTGCAGTTCACATCAGACAATTCTGTGACCCAGGACATTGTCCTCTTACTTTTGCATATGCTACTTGTGATTAAAAATGCAGCATCAGTACCCCTAACCCAGATACATCACCCCAGCTCAATAGCCTGTTTTGCCTACAGCCTTTTTTGCTGGAGCAAAACTGCCGGGGCCCTGATCGGAAGGAGTGTCAACACCTGTTCATGCTGTCCAGCCCCTCCCCCACTTGTGGTTCACTGCTGGCTGCTAATTCTCTTGCTCAGAATCAGCTGAGCAGCAGTCAGATAGCAGCCATCTCAGCATTCATGCACCTCTGGCTTGGCAAATCGGCCAGACAGGCTAAAATATCAGTATTCAGGGTGTTCACCAGTGTGCCAATGAGAATCATGACCCAGTATCTTGGAAGTAAATCAATGGGGGCAAGGAATCTGCATCTAAAAGTTACTGGAAACCACCAGAAACCAGGCTCCAATGTCCTGAAAAGAGCCAATGGGAGGCAGGAACCAAGCTCTAGTGTCAATGTGTCATTAAGACTCTATAACACTCTCAGCTGTTGAAGCTTATGGCACTGCCAGCCTCTTGCCTGGGTAGGAAGGGGGGGGGGGGGGCACCACAGGGAATTTAGCCCAGGACATTGGTCCAGTAATTATGAATCACTGACAGGTGCAGAAACATGGAAACCAGGAGCTATGGACAAGTATCTGATACTGGCCAAATGTAATACAGAAACCAGGAGATTGATGTCAATGGGTTTCAAAGTCCATCACCACAATGCAATGCCAGAGATGGCAAGGCAATGCTTCAAGGTGTTTGTTCTGTCTCACCATTTGAGAGCAAAATGATTTCTATTGAATTCAGGGCACTAGTGCAACAGAACTGCTCCTGGTGTCAGGGGTGAGTTCAATAAAAATTTTCAGTCAAGAGGAAGGGTCAGGACAGGAAAATAGTGGCCTAGCCTGGTCCTGGTCCTCACTGGGACATGCCAGCCAGGACCACTCCTATTCAGAGAGATGTCACAGACTTGGCCTGTCCACACAGCAGCAAATGCAGAATGAATATCAGCACTGCTTATCAGCTGCTCCACACAGAAGTCAGCTTCTCAGTTTCTTTGCACCAAATATCATCAGTTTGAGATGGGGTATCCCTGTAAGGTACTGGAACTTCAACCACCATGATTTGGAGAAAACTGGTTGGTGTGAAACTTTCAATGTTTAGAAGACATACAATGCTGATATGGATGGTGGCAGCAAAACAACTTGTGGGCTATCTTGATTTTTACACCACTACTGAGGCAGTGCAGTTTAAAGGTGAGCTGTGTAAGGCCATGTACTGGAAAAAATGTGTACTATTTGTGATATCTTAAAAATCCTACATCCGGCAAGGCAGTGTAAGGCAACATAAACACACACACCTTTATTTAAGTTTATATTACCAGCTTTACTATTACTTATACCATGTTTATTCTGATAATCTCTCATAGCCCAAAGGTTATGCATTCATGGTGATCCAGCTGTGAGCTTATATTCTGCACCATGTTTTAACCTGTACTGTATCCCTGCATTCTAAGGAAGTTATTGTTGTGCTTTAGCTTATTAACTATACATCATAAAAAAGGATTTGAAATATCCTGCAAACTACATGAGAGCAAAACAAAGCAGGACTGAGAGTAGATCTCTAAAACACATCCACAAGTCAAGCACTCTTATACTGACTTCTTACCAGATGACATACTTACATTTTCTGAGAGGGATATTACTAGGCAAAACATCTATTTTCAATGTAACCCAAGCCAAGCACCAGAACATTTCATACCTGCTCATGATTATGATGTCTCCCACAAGTAAGAGCATATTTGTTATGCTTATGAGTGTGCCTACAGCTAGCAAGATCAGCTTCAATCAATTTTTAAATAGCAACCAACCTTATTCTACCAAAAACATATGGCCTGACATCACAGTATCATCTGTTTCTGTCTGGCTGAAGTGCAAAACAGTACTACCCAGCCAAATTTTATGGCATCAACACCACACTTTCCAAGATCCTAAATTGGTAAAGTTTCCACATCAGTTCTGCACTTAAAAGCTAACATCACCCTACTGCATCTTACAAACCAGATCAATGACCTTGGAATACAACAGCTGCTAAAAGCATCAGGTTAGTGCAAGCAAATAACCACTACCTTGCTTTGTTAATGGTTTGTATATCCTTACTTGGATAACAACCATGACAGTGTCAATCTCCAAAGAGACCTCAGCTGACATGAATGCCACAAGACACCAAGGCAACATTGCCATGCCAGTTTAGGCAGAGCTCTAATTATGAAGTCATTGCTAAGGGGCCAGGAAGAGTGACAAAAATTGGTCCATCTCCAATAAGTCCCAAATAATCTGCTTACTTGAACAGGTTTACTTATTCCTACACCACACACTTATACAACATGGCAAGTAACCAGATGAGATACAGCCATGATTGTTTCAACCTGAGGCACCATTAATGAATGAACCTAAAATCACACAGCTGCTTTCAACATGCAATAGTGTGCATGAACTATCCAATCAAATGTAAAGGTGGTCAATACCAAAATATTATCCCCAGTTCATGAGCAAAAGCAGCGAATCAGACACAATACGTCAGGACATAAAAATGTAGACAATTGCGGCGGTCGGTTTCAAATGACATGGTGTTAGTAACGAACATTTCACGTACATTCGTTCCCAGAAGTCGATGTAAGATCTGAAGCTTTCCCTTGCCACTCACACAGCAGCAAAACGCACGAGTTTAGCGGTAATACAATAATACTTAAGCTGCAGCCCCCCACGCGCACCCCTGGCACCGACACGTGCCACCCACAACTTGCACAATGTTGACATTACAGTCGCCGCATTTGCCTTCTGCGCTGTTCGTCAAATTGGATTCATATGCAATATTTATATTGTGATGAGACACACGCATCTGCTAAACTCCAATGACGAGAACAAAAGAACAAATTTGATAAAACTTTTTTCTACAATATTCTAATTGAATTTCGTTGACCCAAATTAGCCGTACGGCAACCGATTAATTCCGTAGTTGAACAGGTCCTCATGTGTCGGTACACTATATAAGGTTTGTTTCTGTCTATGCGCAATTTTAAAGATCGTTAGCACAAGATGATCGTGTCAAGCATTTTGAAAAAAATATGAGAGCTTCTGGACAAATTTGCGCCCGTCATCAAAATTTTTCGTTTTCCTTGTAGCTTTTTGGTGTTTTTTGTCTGTATTTTGTTGAAATGGGTTTATTGTCTTTTTTGGTTTGTATTATGCCTTTGGTTCTCACCATCCTTAGCATGTGATAAAAGCGCTAATAACACGGTGCTTGCATGCGGAGCGGGTAGGGGGGGCGTGACTTGCGTGAGGGTGTTAGGGGGGAGTAAATGATTTAAGTGGTACAACTTCTAACGTGCTATTCGAGTATTGTGTCACGTATTGCTACACCAGGCCTCTGTTGTGTAAGCGTCATTTGCTACAGGTACGTAGTTAAGCAGGTTGCCCATTTAATTTTGCTTTTCCGCCGCTTTATTTTAGTGGTGTAGATTCTCAAAGCATTCAAAACTCAGGTATCACGATGCTTCAAAGTATTTTCAAAGGGGAACATAATGCACAGATGCCCAGCAATCAATTATGCTGAAAGGGCATTCCACAATATAATTGTTGACTATGTAATTTGATCCATGTCATGGTGTACTTCTCATGAGCCCAACGTTTATCACCCGCTGGGTGGGGGGTCAAATTGACCTCCAGAAGGTTTTTCCGGAATGGCTTTCAAATGGCGCACCATAGCCAGTGCCAAATGTTGCATAGATGTAGACAATTGAATAGTGGATCATTTGAGATAAAAGTTAAGATGTACCTTGTAAGGTTACTGAACTATGGCAGGTCAAAGTCAGGCTTTGGTTTCAGCGAAGGCACAATAACAGAGTGTTTGATGAAGCCATACATCTCTCATATGCTTTCTTAGGCACTACCAATATTAAGTGAGCAAATTACATTGATCTAGGGTCAGGTATAAAGGTCAGACCAAAGTCACAGCCAGCCTAATTTATTACTCTAGGGCTTGCTGTATGGGATAGTTTGTGGTGCTCATTTCAAATTTATTGACTGCATGAAATGCATTATACATCTTCCATTGACTTCTTATAGGCCAGAGAAGGTCATTGACCTAAGATGACCAGGGTCAACATTTTGTTTGATAAACATACTGCTTGGTGTAATCTTTGTCACTTGTTGAAATGCAAAACTCAGAGCAGTCTTGTATGATTTTGGTCACAATGACCTTCAAAAGGTCAATCAAGGTCTCTAGCCTCAAGTGGGCTTTTCACCTTTTGCTAAGAAACAGTTTCCTAGGTTCTGGGGCACTTCAGTGATCAACCTAGAATTTGACCTCATTTGACCTTATTTGACAGTCATGACCCAGTAAGCTCAAACTCTGACCTAAGTGAGCTCATGTACAGGCCAAGGCACCCTGCAAATTTGGTGTACCTAGCTTGCTTAGTCCCCAACATCTCGGGGGTTCAAATTGACCCCCCCCCCCCACCAAATGGTATCCAGCCTGCTACCCCGGCTTGTGTTGTGCATGCTCGCTGTTTGAAGCATGCATAGTCTCATGACATGGCTCAGGTCAGTTAAGGGGGCAGGCAGGCATTTGTACCACTATTGTAAGTGGAAAGTCAGATTGTGCATGTGGCTTCTGGCTAGGTTGGAGATGCTGTCATTTGGTGACTTTCCTCAGTAAATTAATTATTAAACCTCAGCAACAATAATTAAAAAGTTAATTGGTCAGAACTTGATTTTTGCAGTTTGATATTATCACCTGTCAATAATGGCACATTTAAGGTTTTTTTAGTTTTAACCATCATCCCAGTGAAGTAGGCCATGGAAGTAGTAAGCACAGTCCTGATGCTCTTTGGCAGTTTAAGATCATGGTGGACTCTTGAAACATCAATAGACCTCACAATGGGACCCTGAACCTTAAAGGTCAACTGAATGTGAAAAGGAAGCCCTCACAGTGACAATGTAGGAATGCCTTGGCTGAACTGGCCTTGTGTCCAAGTTGGGCCCCTCCTGGGCAAGCTCTGGCCCAAATGGTTTGCATAACAGCAGTGTGAGCTTCATAGCCTGATGCCTGCCTAATCTCATTTACACACAGCCTTATGATGATGCTGTTTTGCTTCAGCTGATGCCCTGCAGCGGCCCTGCCATGTCTGCTCGAGTGTTTGGAACAATGCTGGGACCTCAGGTGGTCATTCAGCTTAGAAACAGGTCAACAGGGGCTGCGGCAGTGCCACCTTCTGTGTTCATCAACAAGAACCCTCGCAACCTGGAACGCATGAGGCTGGCTCGCAAGCAGCAGGGCTGGAAGCTTGAGTCTGAGAGCAGGGAGTACTGGCACAGGTGGGTGAGCATGACTAGTGTGGTGTGGGTGATAGGATTCTCACATGAGGAAAATGGGTATTGATATGCCACCTGGTGGCTCCAGGCGGTGTTTTACACTTGTGGTGGCATCAGTGGAATGGATCACCCCTGTGGGATGCACTGTCCAGATCTGCATTGTCTTCTGCATGGTGTGACTGATTTCTGAGTCAGGTCGGCCCTATGGCACGTGTGGTTGGTGCGGGCAGGCTGCTGTTCGACGCGTCCCACCGACACACGTCGGCACACGTGGAGCACCGGACGGGCCGCAGCGTGGTGTCGGCGTCCACGCGCGAGCTGTGCCTGCGCCGCCACCTGTTCTCGGCAGTAGATGTGTCCGCGGCCGAGAACGTGGGCCGCGTGCTGGCGCGACGCTGCCTGCAGGCCGGTCTGACTGAAGTGCATTTCGCTGCCACTGAGGAGGAGCTGCAGCGCTCGGATCGGGTCAGTGGCGCCCCCGCCTCCGAAACACCAGCGCCTTGGTCACTCCCAACACGGGTCAGGCCTCGGGTACTTGCCTAGACGTGGTGGAAAACCGCAAGTGTTCCCCACCCTACGTATACCTCCCAAGCTGGAGTTAAGTTATGTGTGGTCTTAACAACTACCATGTCGCGCCTTTAACAGCTGTGATATCAAACTGAAGATGTTGGTCTCGGCCGCGACGAGCACGAAACGTGCCCCACGGTTCAAAAATCACTGCCGTCCGAAGGCAAAAAGGCCTAAGAGCCATCAGTTAACATAGCACTTACCTGCTTTGCCTTTCGAAGGCAGAGCCCAGTTCAACAGGGACGATGTGGAATGGTTGTGGATATGCCGCAGGTAGCTGAAGCCAGCGATCCACCGTAGTGAGCTGCTTATGGCAAGGGGTCATGGTGGCAAGTGCTGAGCGGTGAGTGACGCCTCTCTGTTGCGTCCACAGTTACGGCTGTTTGTCCGCGCGATGGAGGAGGGCGGGGTGAAGCTGCAGGAGCCCTCTGCCATCCAGTCCGAGCCGTGGTGGAGCAAGCATAGGGAGCAGAAACCCTGGCACGTGTTAGAGGAAGATGTTATAGATGTGCGATGAGCGGCTATTTGCACCTATCATTGACGTGTGAAGTTGCTAGCATTGTTTAATAAACGTTAGATTGGCACACTTCTCCAAGAAACGTGGCAGAGCTAATATGTCGTCGCTTAAAATCGTGAAATCTGCTTGAACGAAGTCGGTAAAAGTGAAAAGTTTTCAAGGCCAAGAAAGAGACATGGCAGAGCCAATCTTGAAATCTGCTTGAACGAAGCCAGTAAAAAGTGAGAATTTTTCAAGGCTAAGAGAGATTGTGCTCCCACGGCTGCTGCACTATGTGATGCTGCTGCATTTGCCTGCACTTCTTGCCATGCTGATCCCGTCGCCAACTCGGAACGAAATATCAATAATGTTTTGTGTTTTATAGCCTCGTTTGTGTCGCACATCGGAGACGCCAGGCGGCACACCGTTTGGTCACAGTTCAAGAGCAATGTGACGCCTCGATAGAGCATGCAAAAATGAGTTGTCACCGTTCTTTGTCTTGTCAAAAATGAGTGTGGTTGATGTTTGCGTTCGATGAACACTGGTCACGGCTGCTCGGCGTTCACTGACTCGTATACTGGCCCACTGGTGACTTGGACCGGTCCGACTGACCTGTCGCCTGCCGTTGGTGTACCGCTGTCACAGAGCACGGAAAGGTGTCCACTACGGGATGGTACGAAACTGTTACCAACACAAGCTTGCAGAAGAGGCGCGGTGCTCTCAAAATCCTTTGAAAGCGGTGCAGCGCCGAGTCAGTTGGACAAAAGGCATTGCCGGCGGTTAGTAAAGCCGGTCGTTGCCGACGGCTGTCCAAGTGCTGTTGCCAGTTGTTCTTGAAGTGTAACTGTCAATACCACTAAAAAGCTATGCTCAGTGATGTACAGGTGCGTCATGCCTAGCAACAAGCAGCAGGTGCTAAGCTACAGACCACGACGGGAACCTCAGGGACGTAAGCGTCAGCCTCAGCTTGGCTGTTAGCTTTTTGACCATCCTGCATAGTATTGTAATGGTATAATATGTCTGTTTGGAGTACGTCCTCTTACATGCATGACCTCACAAATCGTCTCAGAGCGCCTTGCGTGGGTGGCACCAGCCTCTGAGTGCGTGCAGAGTAGTTTGTCGCTTCGTCCTTAACTGCCGCCCAGGTGTTATCATTTTACCTCTACGAATGGTTTGCTCCGGCATATTGCGAGGCGTGACCGCGGAGGGACCTATTTCGTGCATGCATTGGTATGACGTGACCGCCCTGCGCCACGCCGACCGTGGCCAGCTACCAGCCGACCACAACACGGGAAAATAGCCGACCCAAAAACATGGGACGCGAAACTAGAGTCGATAGTCCTCCGAAATATCCCCGGCCCCGGCCACAGGGACGGTGAACGCCGAAGGTCGGGTCCATCGATCTCAGCCAACGCCGAAGGCTTGCCCCTCCGATGCCCGTATCCCTGTTTGTTTGTTTGTCGGCTTCGATGTTCTATTGTTCCCGCCGCATGGAGAGAGCCTCAGGTCTGGCTTCTAGTTTTCATCACCGCTTTGCTAATATTTTGTCCTGATTTTATGATCTGCCTCTGCTCGAAGGCAGGCAATGTTAAGTGTTGTAATAACGCCTGCCGTTTGCCCTTAAACGTGGACCATCAAACATTGGTTTTAACGGACAATCCAAAGCAGAGACGGTAGCTTCCTTCCACGGTACCGTTAAGCACGAAAATTACCAGGTTCCTGTGCCCTAGCTTTCCTCGTGGCGAGCAATCGGTAAGACCCCCTAAAACCTTCACGAGCGGAAACGCTTGCACCACCGCAGAGTACGCTCCGGGCCACGAAACGCCTCGGCGTGACTGACCGGCGTGCGGCACCAGTCACAATCTGCGGTCGCGTTTGGATACGGAATATGTAGACAATTGATGGCGTGTGTAAGATAAATCAGTTCACATTGGATAAGCGCCGAAAAACATGACTTTTATTACTTGTAATTTTCATACTTTCGATAATTCCTGGCTAAACTCCCACCATTGTGACTTCTGGATGGAAGGACGCGCTTCCAGAAAAAGGAGCTGAAAGAATGCGGTGAAACACTGGGGAGCACACAAAGCTTCAATTTACGGGTTGACGGACTTGACTTACGCTGCACCAACAATACAAGTAATATGCAACCCAATACCAATCGAACACAAGCAGCGCACAACTCACCACCGACCGTTTTCCTTGCTGGCAGTTCGTCTAAATAAGCAACCGTACGCACTTTCCACGGTCGGAACACGCAACGCGCCAGCGTTCCACAACGGACCGAAAGACTCCATTCCGCCCTCACCTAGACGATATCAGCGTTCCGAATCGCACAACGGCTGAAAGTGCACCACACATCAAAGCTGCTTGAGTGGATCAAGCCATGCGTCACCAGTCAAACGCCTCATTACTTGCCGTCCACCCCAACCACACCCAATTCAAAAGGCTCAATCTTCAAGTCAAGTAACTTCTTCACACCACTCGCCGAACCTCGAAGAAACGCTTCAGATAGTACACCTGGCCCATCGTCATTGCCACGAGCACCAAGGCTTCGAAGAACGACCACATGACGACCCTCGAGTTGGTGCTGTCGTTGATAGCCCTGTGTATCTTCTCTCGCACTTCCATGTAGTCCTGTTCGTGTTTCACAGCCGTCAGTGCCGCACCCAGGTCCTTGATCATATCTTCCAACTTGTTGTGACTGGCTGAAATTAAATGAAAAGAATTAGCCATTACTGCATTCACTGTAACAAAAGTTATAGGCGTGACTGACGATGGACTGTTTATTAATCCTCTGACCGTCAGTTGCAAGCACACTTGCGATACTGTTGCAAAACGGTGTGCGTGATGGTCAGGAAGATACAATACACCAAAGTACATGTAAATAATTAGCTGCAATGCCGAACAATGTTTTACGGATGCGAAATGATATACTGACCTTCGCCATCGACCCCATCCTTCTTGTCTCCTTCCCCCAGATCCATGGAGAACATCACAATTTTGGGAGTCATTGTTGACATCTTGTTTCCGAAGCAATATGTGAAAACACCATCCATATGGGCTGGGAAAGTAAACCTTCCATTGCTTTCTCTCTCCTGTTGGTACACTGTCTTGCCATCAGGTCCGATCAGCTTGATGTCAATGTCCAAGAACCCTCCTTCCACTACTTCAAATGCCAAGCCTGCAAAGCAAGAAAGCTGTTGTCACATGACCTGACAGTGTTATAATGGCTCAAGGGCTCATAGCTCATCTTAACAAGATGGGAAGCGCAGTAAGCTTTCAGATATCATTCAAAAGTGTTTTTTTTTTTAAAGAAAAGGAAACATGTTCCCGATGTTTAATCAAAAAGCTTCTGAATTCCAAATATTCTTCTCACTCTCGACCCACCTCGCTTGCATGAATACAGTTATTGGCCTAACTGTAACCCTTTAAAGGGAATGTTCCACATTTGAAAGCATTGCAAGCATTGAGGTAAGTACAAGATATTATGGAAAAGTTCCCTTGTAACTATTGGTATGGTTTCCAGTGCACAGAATAATCAAGATAACACCATTTAGCTATTTATCAAAATGTTTAACACACAATCGTTGATTACGTCATGGAAAATTTTATGTCAGAGTGCCTGCGAGACTGGCGGTGTCTGAATTGCCACTGAAGCAGAGGGGCCGACTCACTTGTATAATTAAACTCGCCACAGGTGACTTGCTATTTTATGTGTGTGGATAAACCGCCCACCATTCTATGGGCGTGTCTCGGCCCTTTTTCGTGGTATATTTGCATATGGTATTAGCATTTCATAAGTATTGTACGGTCTCCTGGTATATTTTTCCGTGATCACATGTTTTTTACTTGCATTCACATTCTTGGGTTAGTTATTCTTCATTTATTATATCCCTAGCCTCATGTCCGCCATGACTGGAAGGCCTGATCGAATGCCTACATTATGTACCACAAAATGCTGTTTGTGACCAACTTGGATTTTACATGTCAGCCTGGTTGAATGCCAACTGGCATATGTTGAAGTGAAATTTTGTGTTGACAATTCAGACACAAAGAACTCAATGCACCTGTTTCATTTGACCTTGAACACAGTCTGGCCAACTGAGGAGGCAAATTTGTGTGACATACTCTAACATAATACATCTCTTTGTGAATTCAACTCTGCACATAGGGCAAAATCATCTGCCAAGGTTGACATGCACCTTACTAAAAGTGAGGAGATTTCAAGTCTTACAGAGGGTATATCTGTGAACTGCAGGAAAGGTCAGGGTGTACTTTCCTACCCCATGTTACAAAAGAGCATTGTACATCAATCGTTGTTTTTAAGGCAGAACATATCATAATTAATCGTTGAACAGGTCATCTATACTCTTACCTTGGAACTTAACTAATTACGATACCGAACATCCGGCCGCCGCAAACACACAGCAGCCGCGACACCGGCGCCATTACTGCGCGCGGCCACAACATTACTGCGCATCAAGCCGCATCAAGAACCATAAAAATGTACGGGGCCAAGGTAACAAGAATCCATGAAATTTGATCCTCGACGCCAACGGGACGATGGGTTGCAGGGGGATCGGGTGGGGAATGTAAAGCAAAATGAGAACATGGCGGCTAAATAAAAGCTCACTATATGGTACCTATATATGGCATAGAACATGGACGCCAATGGGATGCTGGGTTCAAGGGGATATAGGGTGGGGAGGTTAGGTTAGGTTAGGTTAGGTTAGGTTAGGCTAGGTTAGGTTAAGTTAGGCTAGGTTAGGTTAGGTTAGGCTAGGCTAGGCTAGGCTAGGCTAGGCTAGGCTAGGCTAGGCTAGGCTAGGCTAGGCTAGGCTAGGCTAGGCTAGGCTAGGCTAGGCTAGGCTAGGCTAGGTCAAGTCAGGTTGTTAGTTAGGTCAGGTTGGGTTGGGTCGGGTTGGGTTGAGTTGGGTTGGGTTGGGTTGGGTTGGGTTGGGTTAGGTTAGGTTAGGTTAGGTTAGGTTAGGTTAGGTTAGGTTAGGTTAGGTTAGGTTAGGTTAGGTTAGGTTAGGTTAGGTTAGCTTAGGTTCTGGTCTATTCTAGGTTAGGTTAGGTTAGGTTAGGTTAGGTTAGGTAAGGTTAGGTTAGGTTAGGTTAGGTTCAGTTAGGCTAGTTTAGGCTATGTTCTGGACTATTCTGGCCTGTGTGTTTCATAAACGTACCTAAACGCGATAAGAAACGATTTCCATTGCATTATTATTGCTACCTTGGTCCCGTAATTTTTGAATGGTTCTTGATAAGCAGAAATATTGTAATTACGCAACAACGCAGAAAAGGCGCTGGAGAGTCAAGGCGGTGCGGTGCGTGCGGCGCTCGGGAGCCGGCTATCATATTTATTAAAATCTGAAGGTAGGGGCATGATTCTACCTGTTCTGAGATTATCTACAATATGTTCCGCCTGCGCCGTTTCTGCGTTGTTGCGTAAGCACAATATTTCTGCTTATCAAGAACCATTAAAAATGTACGGACCAAGGTAACAATAATAAAGCAACCAAAATTGTTTCTTATCGAGTTTGGGTACGTTTATAGAAACACACAGGCCAGAATAGTACAAAACATATCCTAAATTAGCCTAACCTAATCTAACTTAACCTAATCTAAACTAGCCTAACCTAGCCTAGCCCAGCCTAACCTAACCTAACCTAACCTAACCTAACCTAACCTAACCTAACCTAACCTAACCTAACCTAACCTAACCTAACCTAACCTAACCTAACCTAACCTAACCTAACCCACCCACCCACCCAACCCAACCCAACCCAACCAACCCAACCCAACCCAACCCAACCAACCCAACCCACCCAACCCAACCCAACCAACCCAACCCAACCCAACCCACCCAACCCAACCCAACCCAACCCAACCCAACCCAACCCAACCCAACCCAACCCAACCCAACCCAACCCAACCCCCAACCCAACCTAACCTAACCTAACCTAACCTAACCTAACCTCCCCACCCTATATCCCCTTCAACCCATCATCCCATTGGCATCCATGTTCCATGCCATATATAGGTGCCATATAGTGAGCTTTTACTTAGCTGCCATGTTCTCATTTTGCTTTACATTCCCCACCCTATCCCCCTGCAACCCATCGTCCTGTTGGCATCGAGGATCAAATTTCATGGATTCTTGTTACTTGGCCAGGTACATTTTTATGGTTCTTGATGCTGCTTGATGCGCAGTTATGTTGTGACCGCGCGCAGTAATGGCGCCGGTGTCGCGGGTGCTGTGTGTGTGCGGCGCTCGCTGGGGAGTCAAGGCGGTGCGGTGCGTGCGGCGCTCAGGAGCTCGCCATCATAATTATAAAAATTTGAAGGTAAGAGCATGAATCTACCTGTTTTGTGATTATTAATGATATGTCCTGCCTTAAACACAACAAATGGTGTACAATGGTTTTTCCAACATTAGGTAGGAAAGTACACCCTGACCCCAGAAAAAATCCAAAACCTTCCAGACTTCCTTCTGGCCTAGATCTCAAGCATGCATGCTCCACCTCAGAACATCAATGTTACCTGAACATTTAAGGCAGCAGCTGTAGTTATGTTACTGACAGGAATCACTAACACATGTTCAGAACTGTGGACAGATTTATTTGCTGGATGGTCAACTACTATTGCCCAATATGAAATAAGAGTAGTCCCATTGCCACATTATATGGCAAGCCACAGTACTTAGATACAAGCTTTTCCTCCAGCACCTTTCTGAGCTAAGTTGCGCTTCATCTTTATTTTGTCTTAACAGCATGGTGAAAATAAGATATACAATTAAAACAGTTTATTTTGCTTCATGGAGCAAAAATGTTCTTCAAAACATCATACTAAGCCCTCGATATTACAGCTGATACAATACAGCCACCCAATACACTCACAAGTTTAAACTCACCGAGTTTGGTTCCAGATGTTACTTTCTCCATGAAGCATTCCTCCGCATGAGCGTCGACAGTAACCATATAAGACCAGGAATGTTTTACCAAAGCTAAGATTGTAAGTACGATAAGATTATGCATGGCGTGTAGATCAAATACGGCCTGAGACAGCACAACGTAAATATTACAGCCCAGCCGCTCACACAACCACCACAATATCCCCGGTGTGCGAGCCGACAATTCGCGCACCTGAGACCAATCCTGAGACGTCAGCGGCGTAACTGCCGCGTCAAGTGGACCACAAAATTGCTGTTGCATCAAGCCAGAAAAGTTTTCTAGCACTGGTAGAGGGATATCTCTGTAAAGAAAGCATGACGTTTGGTCGGTTGTGGAAAATATCTGAGAAACTTGAGGACACAAAAATGCATCTAGTTCACGTACACTGATATTTTTCTCATGAAACTACATCTAATGTCAACAAAGATGACATGCTATTCGAATCAGGCATATCATCGGCGGATTGGGAGTCCAGCGTGCACCTGCGTTAAGATGAGTCATTCTCTTCTTGAGCTATTTTCATGACTTGTGCGAACAAAAAGGCACAGAAAGCACGTGATTATTTCTCCACCTAGTCTTTATTGTTTTGGGAACATGCCTTTTGTTGCTATTGCTCCATTGAAGACGCGGCGAAGGCTGCAAGAATCCCCCTATCCTAAAACCAGTTTTTCTGCGGGTGGATTTGGTAGCAACCAGATACGCGTCACGTCAGGTAAGACAGAAGGCTATCGGGCACCAATACATTTTATATTTGTGGGATATATATTATGAATATGAGAAGTACAATATGCGTTTTCTTGACTGTGTTAGAAGCATATTCTACATACATTAACAAAAATGCGGGGTTGCCGGCATTCCTCGAAAATGTACCCTCGTCTTAAGCATTGGGGTCATTGGAGCTCACGTAATGGTTTGTGCTTGGAGCGGTTTAGTGAAGGCCGCATAAGAGCTGTGTAAGAGCAAGGAGCATGTATTTGGATACGCGATTACGGGTGGGGGGGCGGGGGGCGTATTTACATTCAGGCTCATATCTTCACATGGATGTACTCCGTTATGGGGGGGGGGGGGGGGGGGGGGGGGGGGTGTAGAGCAAGCATCTGGACTGATCTTGAGCCGGTCACGTATGCTGCGATGCATGGATAAGAACATCTTGAAAGAAGTACAAGAGAAGCTCGATTTATTGAGATTTTGAGCCATAATGAAGCCTTGTGTTTGTGTGCATAATCTGAGGCACGGTTTATCTGGGTGACGCCCGAAGTCGTAGGTCTATGTGAGCCGGCTTTCTGTTCTGGACGTTGGGCTTCTACGCGGTTCGGTTGTTGCACAGGCTTTGAAACGTATGAGAAAGTAGGAGAGGTATGCCAATTAGATTTGAAAATGACCCCTTTGCCCCTTTACTGTGCCAACAGTGGTCTGAGCTGATCCATACAAAGAAATGTTCAATGCCTTCCTTTGTAGCGTTTCATGCCCGATGCCTGGTCAATGCCTTTGTGACGTCAGAATGAAAACAGCACATGATGTTTGGGCTTTTTTTTACTTGGGTACCTGTATTGCCGACGGTGGGGAGAGAGCTACGCTGGCTGCAGGGTTCCTGTACTGCCGTAATGGAGAAATGCTGTTAGGTGTCAGCCGACGTAGTGACGTCACTGAAAATGGGTTTGCATCGATCGGGGTTCTTTTGGGCCGACTGAAGGCTACAAGGCATCTACTAGCGATATGATGTCACCGGTATTCGACTGGATATGTGACGTCACTGGTTGTGAGGCTTTAGGGCTCTTTTGGGTGCAATGAATGCCGTAAAGCATCAACTGACGATATGTCGTCGCTGGTATTCAATGAAACATCAGGCGCAGCAGGCCTTATTCCATCTTTACCTTTCGTACCTGTCTGCTGCAAGCATTCGCGTGCCGAGTAAAAGCTTGACCGAATCACCTGAATGTGTGACGTCACTAATCATCACTTGATACGAGTGCACTTAGGCCCCACGGCCGCGGTGTATCATGTTCCGTGAAATATCACCGGGTGTCGTGACGTCACTGATATTCGACTAAATATTGGTCGCAACAGGTCATGCTTCATTTGTACCTTCGTACCTGTCTACTGCAAGCACTGGCGTGATGAACAAAAGCTACCAAATCACGTGAGTGTGTGACGTCACTGGTCATGCATTTTTATGGATCTTTGGGGGCCAACTGAGGGCCGTAAAGCACAACCTAATGATGTGACGTCACTGGCATTCGACTGTGTGTGATGTCACTTGTGATCAGATTTTACGGCCTCTTTTGGGCCGACGAAAGGTCATACGACATTAACTGAAGATGTGACGTCACTGGTATACGAATAAAATTCAGGCGGGACAGGCCATGCTCCATCTTTACCTTTGGTACCTGTCCATTGCAAGCATTTGAGTGCTGAAGGAAGGCTGTGCCGAATTACCCGAGTGTGTAACGTCACTAACCATTAATTTGTATAGACTGTTTTGAACCCACCGTAAGCCATACCACATCAGATGACCATATGACGTCACCGGTTTTCGTCTAATGTCATGCGCAACAGGCCATGCTCTATATTTGCCTTTCGTACCTGTTTACTGCAAGCCTTCGCGTGCCATATCAAGGTGATGCCGAACCATCTGAGTGCGTGACGTCACTGGTCATGAGTTTATACAGGTTCACTTGGGCAGCCCAATGCAACAAAGCATCATATCCTGTGAAGCATCGCGGGATGATATGACGTCACTGGTATTCGACTCAACATCAAGCGCAACAGGCCATGTTCCATCTTTACCTTTCGTACCTGTCTACTGCAAGCATTCGCGTGTTATATCACGTCATTGGTTAGGAGTTCTTACGGGCTTTTTTCAACCCCCTATATGGCATAATGCTTCAGCTGACGATATGATGTCACTGGTGTTCGACTTAACATCAGGCACAACATGTCATGTTCCATCTTTGCCTTTCGCACCTGTTAAAGTATTGGCGAGCCTAATGATGGCTCTGCCGAGTCACCTGAGTGCGTCGTCATGAGTTTTTACAGGCTATTGTTGGCCGAGTGAAAGCCATAAGGCATCATCTAACGATATGTCGTCACTGGTAATCCACTAAGTGTGTGACGCCATTGGTCATGAGTTTTCCCGGGCCTTTTTGGGCCAACTTAAGGCCATTAGGCATCAGGTAACGATATGACGTCATTGGTATTCAATTGAGCATCAGATACAATATGTCATGTTTCATCTTAACCTTCCGCACCTATCTACTGCAAGTATTCGCGCGCCACATAAAGGCTCTGCGCAATCACCTGAGCGTGTGGTGTGACTGGTTATGAGTTTACGCGAGTTTACTCGGGCTGACTGAAGGGCATTAAGCATCATCTGGCGATGTGACGGCACTGGTATTAATCTTAACACCAGGCGCGACAGGCCATGTTCGTCTTTACCTTTCGTACCTGTCTATTGTAAGCATTGACATGCTTAAGGAAAGCTCTGTGAAATCTCCTGATTGTGTAATATCACTGGTCATGAGTTCTTTACGGGCTGCTTTTTTGTACCTATAGGGTACAAGACATCAGTTGACGATATGATATCACTGGTATTTGACTTAATCTCAGGCGCAACAGGCCATGTTTCATCTTTGCCTTTCGCACCTTTCGCACCTTCGCACCTTTCGCACCTTTCGCACTGCAAGTATTCGCGCGCTACATAAAGGCTCTGCCGAATCACCTGAGCATGTGGTGTAACTGGTCATGAGTTTACGCGGGCTTACTCGGGCTGACTGAAGGACATCAAGCATCACCTGACCATATGACGTCACTGATATTCGGGCTGTGGCCCAGACTTATGGCCGCTAGGAGGCGCCCTTGATTAATATTTAGCCATCAGGGCATTCCGGACCGTAGCTGCTCAGGGGCGCATCCTGTGATGTCGGGCGGAATAGCTTTGCATATACGTCGGTTTGTGGGCTGGGATCACCTTTGTTTTGTGTTTACGTTTGTTCAAAATTGTAGTCGTTGAAACAGTCCGTTGCGTTTGAAGTTGTTACTTAATGGTGCGCACAATAAAATTAGTGTGTTTAACTATGGTGCATCTCCCACCTCTGCTGCGGAATTTCGTAGCCATAGGTGGCCAAGTGACCTCCTACCAACTGATGATCAGTGACGTCACATACTCAGGTGATTCGGCGGAGCCTTCATATAGCACGCAAATATTTGCAGCAGCCAGGTACGAAAGGCAAATATGGAACATGACCTGTTGCGCCTGATGTTAAGTCGAGCCCCAGTAACGTCATGTCGTCAGCTGATGCATTATAACCTATAATGGGTTCAAAAGAGTCCGTAAAAAACTCGTGACCAGTGACGTCACGCACTCAGGAGATTCGACGGAGCCTTCATTCAGCACGTCAATACCTTCAATAGACAGGTACGAAAGGTAAAGAAAGTACGTGGCATGTTGGACCTGATGTTAAGTCGAATAACAGTGACGACATATCATCCTGTGATGCTTCACGGGAGGTGTTGCTTTGTGGCCTTGGGCGGCCCAAGTGAATCCGTATAAACTCATGACCAGTGACGTCACCCACTCAGATGATTCGTCTGGAGTTTAGTCGATTACCAGTGACGTCATATCGGCAGCTGATGCTTGATGTCCTTCAGTCAGCCCGAGTAAACCTGCACAAACTCATGACCAGTTACACCACACGCTCAGGCGAATCGACAGAGCCTTTTTGTAGCGCACGAATACTTGCAGTAGGCAGGTGCGAAAGGTAAAGATGAAACATGGCTTTTTGCAACTGATGTTAATTCGAATGCAAGTGACGCCATAACATTATCTGATGCCTAATGGTCTGAACTCGGCCAAAAAAGGCCCGTAAAAGCTCATGACCAGTGACGTAACACTCAGTGGATTACCAGTGACGTCATTTCGTTAGCTGATGCCTTATGGCTTTCGCTCAGCCAAAAATAGTTGGTAAAAATTCATGACCAGTGACGTCGCACACTCAGGTGACTCGGCAGAGCCATCATTTAACGCACCAATACTTGACAGGTACGAAAGGCAAAGATGGAACATGACCTGTTGCGCCTCATGTTTAGTCGAACACCATTGACATCATGTCGTCAACTGATGCATTTTTCCCTATAGAGGGTTCCAAGGAGCCAGAAAAAACTCATGACCAGTAACGTTACACACCCAGGAGACTCGACAGAGCCTTCATTCAGCACGTCAATACTTGTAATAGACGGGTACGAAAGGTAAAGATAGAACATGGCCTGTCGCGCCTGATGTCAAGTCGGACACCAGTGACGTCATATCGTCAGCTGATGCATTATTCCGTTTGGGGGTACAAAAGGTCCCGTAAAAAGCTCTTGACCAGTGACGTTGCTTACTCAGGAGACTCGATAGAGCCTTCATTCAGCACGCCAATACTTCCAAGAGACAGGCACGAAAGGTAAAGATGAAACATGGCCTGTCGCGCCTGGAGTTTAGTCGAATACCAGTGACGTCATATCGTCAGCTGATGCTTGATGTGCTTTGGTCAGCCAGAGTAAACCCGCGTAAACTCATAACTAGTTACACCACACGCTCAGGTAATTCGGCAGAGCCCCTATGTGTCGCGCGAATACTTGCAATAGATAGGTGCGAAAGGTACAGACGAAACATGGCTTAGATAGAGCATGGCCTGTTGCGCATGACGTCTAGTCGAGACCCAGTGACATCATATCGTCAGCTGATGCCTTGTGGCCTATAGTAGGTTCAGAAGAGTATACAAATTAATGGTCAGTGACGTACACACTCAGGTAATTTGGCAGAGCCTTCCACGGCAATGCTTGCAATGGACAGGTACCAAAGATAAGGGTGGAACATGGCCTGTCGCGCCCGAAGTTCATTCGAATACCAGTGACGTCACATCGTCAGTCAGTGCCGTATGACCTTTCGTCGGCCCAAAAGAGGCCGTAAAATCTCATGACCAGCGACACGCACAGTCGAATGCCAGTGACGTCACATCGTTAGCTGATGCTTTATGGTCTTCAGCTGGCCGCAAAAAAAAATCCGCCAATAGTTGCAGCAGACATGTACGAAAGGTATAAATGGAGCATGACCTGTTGCCTGATGTTCAGCCAAATACCAGTGACGTCATATCGCCAGCTCATGCCTTACGGCATTTCGTCGGTCCTAAAGGGTCCGTTGAAACCCACGACCATTGACGTCTTACAGTCAGTCGTATAGCAGTGACGTCGTTAGCTGACACCTTGTGGTCTTCAGTTGGCCGAAAAGCACCGGTGGAACTCATGACCAGTGACGTCACACACTCAGGTGGTTCGGCAGCTCTCATCCAGCACGCCAATGCTTGCAGTAGACAGGTACAAAGGTAAAAATGAAGCACGGCCTGTTGCGCCCAGTATTTATTCGGATACCAGTGACGTCACGCTATCCGGCGATACTTCGCGGACCATGACACACACCGTGGTCGTGGGGCCTAAGTGCACTCGTATGAAGTGATGATTAGGGACGTCACACATTGAGGTGATTCGGTCAAACCTTTATGCGGCACGCAAATGCTTGCAGCAGACAGGTACGAAAAGTAAAGATGGAACAAGGCCGGTCGCGCCTGATGTTTAATCGAATACCAGTGACGACACATGGCCAGCTGATGCATTACGGCATTCAGTAGACCCAAAAGAGCCTTACAAACTCACGACCAGTGACGTCACATACCCAACCGAATACCAGTGACATCATATCACAATCAAAAGCCTTATGGCCTTCAGTCGGCCCGAAAGAACCCCGATCCCGATCGATGCAAAACCATTTTCAGTGACGTCACAATGTCAGCTGATGCCTCACAGCTTTTCCCCCACACGACAATACTCGAAACCCTGCAGCTAGCGTAGCTCTTCCCTCCGTCGGCCATACAGGTACCAAAGTAAAAAATTACTGATGTTTTTATTGTTTGTATGTTTTTATATATTTTATTGTGTTTTTTATTGTTTTTTATATATTATATTTTATCATGTATTGCATCACCGCAGCGACTGCTCTTGTAGAGAAATACCCCTGTTGTTGCCTTGTGGCGAGTGTATACAAAGTTTTGGTTTGTATCACAAATAGAAAAGCCGGGGATGATCCAGGATGGTGGTTGTGCCCATTGGCTTGTAAGTGTGTTAATGCTGTTGGCTGTACTTTGTGTCATGTGGTATCCATGCAGTGAGGTTGTTTCAATTTCAGGGTTCAATTCAAGTTGAAAGTAAGGTATCCATCTGCCATGTTGTATGGTTTTGCCTGATGTATCATGTGTGATGCAATTCTCTAAAAAATCAAAAGCACTTGGTATTCATTTGTCTCCAGAGCTGCACTCATTAGCTGTGGGAGTAACATTTGATGCAACCTGATGATGATTTAAAGCATTACCACATGCAGACTTTTGATACTATTGGCTCAACCTTGTGCCACAAGTGTGATTTGGTCAGTCATGTGCACACTATGGAACAGTAATACAAAATGGTGCACACAAACAAAGGGAAACACATAAAAGGATATGATTTGGTGGGCGAGTGAAAGACTTCAAAATGCAGAATGTCATTGAAGTATAGGTCTGATAGAGCCAGGGTAGATGTTCCTCAATTTTCACAAAATGTGTTTTTTGCCTCCTCAAATTTGAGTGATATGGTACCTATTTTCATTTTTTCCAATTTAAATTGCTTATTTTTAGGTTGGGATATTTTCCATGCTGCTGGGTGACTCCCTATTCATGGCCTGACCTGGCAGTCTGAGAGATATGGTTACACTTATGGTGACTGCTCCTGTTTTCATTGCTACAATCAGCTGCTTAGTTGTCCATACATAGTTTGTGCTAACCAACAGTCTCAATTTGATGCCTAGTTTATGGGTATCTTTATGATGTGTTCAATGCTCAGCTATCTGAAATTCCTTTCAGATTAGAAGTTCTCACCATAGCTTGCCACAAATGTACTGGCTGGGAGAAACATCTCCAAAAATGACTGGAGATAACTGACAGCATTATTTGGTTAGTCAGTGTTTTCTCACATATTTTACCAGTTTGGAATTATGAATGTAAAAGCATGAAGTGTTCAGATCCCAAAAAGCATACTTAAAGAATTAAATATATGAGATTATTAGTATGCTAGAGGTCAGTGCCCCTTAGAGACATCCAAGGTATTTTATACTGTACCTTTCCACAGAGAAAAGTGTTGATCTCAGCAGCCATTTTGTCAACTGCAGCTGTTTGTAAACATATGCATAAGCACAAATGTTTGAGTAGATAATATCATATTCCAATCTGTTACTGCATCAAACTGTCTATATATTGTGGCAAGGTCAGCAGTCTGCATGGCATGCCAGGGTATTTTTTAAACAAAATTAACCAAATCCAACATAACAGAACAGCAGTCAAGGCACCCTTCTATTTCATTTCCTCATAAAATGACTTTGAGAAGTTCAACACTATGCCAGGGAATGTTGCATGAAAAGGAATAGAGTTAAAACATAAATATAGTTAAGACAAAAGTTCAGACACCTGCCAAAGCCATTCTCTCATGTCATTCTTTCTGGATTGAGCAGGAATTCCCATTGCACTTTTTTAAGCTCCAACAGATCCCATACAAATGAAACATTCAGATATTTGTGTGTTGTATGCTATAAAGCCATGGACTAAAACATTGCTTCATTGCAAATGTAGCCATGGTGTGCCCAGTGCTCCTATGTCCCATGCTGTTACCAGAAAATTTCAGAATTACCATGTTGTGAAAAGAAACCTGGCAAACAGAAAGATGTCAAACAAATCAGGACATAATTTTCAAAATATGATAAGCACTAGCTTCAAGATGATTTGTTGTAAGGATGTCTGCCCAATGCCCCCTCCGCTTCCACAATCCCACCCCTTCTATTACTGGAATCATGTTTTGGATCACTTCTGGAACCCTTCTAATCTGCATAAACTGCCTCTATTTCAGTCAGCATGCCTGACTACAAGTATAATGTGCTGGGGGTGGTGGTGGAGATCTTCCCGCTGAAGAAGGCGGTGATCAGCTTTCAGGAGGATGGCCGGGAACAGCGCGCACTGCTCTGGGGCGAGCGGCTGGTGTGTGAAGATGGCCGGCTCCTGCCCGAGCGCCGGCCCATCGACACAGTGCTGGCTGTGGGCGATAGTGTGCTCATGGACTGCCACATCTACGACAACAAGAACAGCCAGGACCGCTGCGACTGGTACGTGGCGCGCGCACAGCTGGCCTCGTCACCCCAGCCCAGCGACGTGGTTTCCAACGTGTCGGGCAAAGTGGACGAGCTGACGCGCACGCGCGGCTTCGTGGTGTTTCGGCAGCCGGGCCGGTCCGAGGAGCAGCGGGCGGTGTTCGTGGTGGCGCGGTATTTCGCGCGCGGCCAGCGGCTGCCGGCCGGCAGTAGCCTGTTTGACCACCTGGAGGAGGACCAGGTGGTGAACATGGACGCGGTGCACGGCGCCGGCCGGCTGGAGGCGGCCGGGTGGTACGCGCCGCTGGTGTGGCGCGGCCAGAAGCCGGACGTCCGCCTGGACCCGCAGCCGCCGCCGGAGGTGCTGGCCGAGGAGGATGGCGGGGCGCTAGCGACCACCACGCTCGCCAGTTCCCTGCTGCCAGCGCTCAGCTCGGCCGACGCCCGCCGACGGTCGGCACCCGGCATGTCGCAGGTGGGTCACGCCCGCAGACGACCGCGCTGGCGACGCAGCCAGCACCCTGCGGCGACGCCGGCCCACTGACGCCTCTACTTTTGGGACGAATTTGTTTTTGCATGACCGCTGCAGCTGGACCATCAATGCAAACAAACGCCAAGATGATGAATGTTGCGGTCCAGTGTCTAGCGGCGGTCTGTGACGTTTGGACCACTCAGTTACAAAGCCGGTGGTACGCAAGCTGTGACATCTGCGCGCGGTGTTACGGGCTTTGTAATGTCTGCATTTCTTAGTTTACTATTTTCACGCTGCGTAAAAGTCATCTGCATGCACTATTATACGTCAGGAGTCGATCAACTCTAGGTTCTCCTTTCGCCGTAGTTACAAGGCGCTTCTGCGCTAGTGTGCACGGCGCGTTTGAGGAAGAAGATGTCGGGATCGAGCTCCTGGACGCCGCCTTTGTGTTCTTCAAATTCATCGCGTTTTTTGCTGCTTGCGCTGCGCCAGCTGCTGACGCTGCGCCACGCGACGCCGTGCGGCCGTAAACACGAAGTCACGTCCCTACCACGCACACCCGCGCAGCCCATCACCCTGCCTCCGGGGTTCCCGGAGCGCACGCGACGCCGGTCGGCTGACGCGGCCGATGGCTGTCGGCAGGACAAGTGGGGCTACGTGGCGAGCCTGCTGAGCGCCGAGTACGGCTTGCTCATGTGCCAGGTGGCGCCGCGCCGCTACGAGAGCGTGCTCTTCCACAACAGCGTAGCGCACCTCTCCAATCTTAACCTCAAGAACTACGATTTGCGCGCCATCTTCAAGAAAGGTGAGGGGTGGCGCTTGTCTTGTGCGGCATTTTTGTGAGGCAAAATGCGCCCACTGTCCGTGCATGGGCACACCCTCAGTCTGCACACCGGTTGTTTACATGGGGTCGTCTTACTAGCCGCCGCTTTTGTGCCCCACTGTAACCTTTGGCACGAGCGCAAGCAATTCGACATTCAAAGAACTGCTTTCGTGTTTGCATTTATAGTGTTTGCATCAACACGCGATTCATTGGCTCCACGTGTTATCCCTTAACGGTTGTTGGTTGGCTGGTACCTGCCGTTCATGTTCTGTTCGGTCCCCTGTTGTCTTTGCGTGGTTCGCGAGGACCAATTAACGTCCACCTCAGTCAAAGGGTCAACCAGCTGCCCCAGTGACGGACAATTGCAGGTGGCGGTTAGTCGCAGCTGGCGGCCCCTCCCCCTCCGTTCTGGCACCAGCTATTCGCCATGATCTGAGCACGGGCCGTTTCCAGGAGAACCACCTGCGATTCGTCATGATCTCAGCACGGGCCGTTTTCAGGGACCACCAGTGATATGTCATGATCTCAGCACGGGCCGTTTTCAGGAGACAATCTGCGATTTACCATGAATTCAGCACGGGCCGTTTTCAGGAGACCACCTGCGATTCGCCATGATCTCAGCACGGGCCGTTTTCAGGAGATCACTTGCGATTTGCCATGATCTCAGCATGGGCCGTTAGGAGATCACCCGCGATTTGCCATGATCTCAGCACGGGCCGTTTTCAGATCACCTGCGATTTGTTATGATGTCAGCACCGGCCGTTTTCAGGAGATCACCTGCGATTTGCCATGATCTCAGCACGGGCCGTTTGCAGGAGACCACCTGCGATTTGAAGCGGAGCCGTCTGACAACCCGGGGGTGTACCGGTGGCGGGCGAGCAGTGTCTGGGTGGACATGTCGCAGGCGAACGGAAGCGATGCGATCTGGAGTGACCCTGGCGGCTCTGTGGGAAACTAAGACCCGCTCCGATCCCTCGGGGTGGCGCAGTGATCGTGGTGTGATAGCTTTCGCATGCGGGCGGTAGACGTTAAGAGGCGGCACGACTGTGATAATTGCCAGTGTCATTCCCGCCGAGCCAGTATTTCCTCAACGTGCGTGCGCTTCGCAGACATATTCAGAGTGTAATGTGGTCTGGGGACGGACCTGATATGTCTTGGTATCACGGGGTGCTTACGCGGTATGCCGGCACAATGGGCAAGTGGCATGCTGGTGTGGGGGTGTGCATTAGAGCTGGACGTTCGGTTATTTGTTATTGCTCCCTGAATTATAGAGGATTAAGGTCGGATACGTAAGGTTCAGTGACACCGGGTTCGACTCTCTGGAAGAACAAGCCGCTTTACAGTGGGGGATTTACCGCTTGTGTATCATACTTCTTGGGTCCCCTCTTGAAAACAAATCGTTGCCGCATTCCATTGGGCATGATAAAAATGTTTGTCATACGAAATTTGTCGTGAGGTTCAACAACAAATGTCACTTCCACGCATACAGTAGAAACAATGCCCTAGCCGGGCTTAGCATATTTTTTTACTTTCTTACACATGTGGCGAAAAAAAAATAACTGACCCCCTTTGCTGGTCTTGGACAACGATGCTTCTTTCCGACCTCTTGTTCTCGCAGTCTGAAAACTATGTTTGCCCCGCCCAACAGTACGTTCCCTGAGTGCGTATGTAAGCAACGTATTTTAAACAACGTTGGATGCAATGCCTTCATTAGATGTGCTTAAATCGATCGAGCGTAAACCTGAGCCTGAATTTTATGATTTTGCAAAGAATACTAACCAATAGAAGTGGCATGCAATAGGAGTTCCATGGTACGTTCAGATATGGTAAAAGAAAAGCAACAGGACAACTACATTGCTAATTGGGCGAGTCGGGGCAAGGCGTCGCACATTGTTCCATTTTGTTCTGTTTTTTCTTTCTTCTTTGTTCTGTTTTTAACATTCCAAAGAGCTTTTGGTTGTTCTGTGAAAACTGTAAAAATCGAAGGTGAACGTGGAACGCATACGCCTAAGTATATGAATGTCGAAATCAAGCCAAACTATCAGCGATAGTATGTGTGTACTTGACCGTGATTGTCTGTGTATGTGTGCTAGCGGTCACTGAACTGCCCGGGGTATGTTTGCACTGCTTCGGCCGCCGTTATAAGGGGTTCACCTCTCTTCGAATGGTGCGCAATGCTTTCTTTTTCCTCTGGTCGCTGGCGCACATAATTAGCTCGCACATACAATCCAGAATACACATTTACCAGCTGATGTTGTTTCGACATATTTAACTGCAGGGGTGCGTTGCAAACACGGCACCCCTCTAAGCATATTATTGGGGGGGGGGGGGGGGGGTCAGTCGGCGTGATGGCATCAACACCCAGCGGTTGGGGACATGATAAGATGCTTCCTTCTCTGATGATATCCCAGCAGCCGCCGGCATCTGACAACACCACTGCCCATTGCCCAGCGCTGGGTTTTGGCGGAGTGACAGCTCCCTTCCTCGGCATCTGCGGGCCTGTGTGAGTCGCAGCGCCCGGGGGTGTGCTGGGGCGGCGGCCGACTCCCCCAGCTTCCGACGCCGGCCGCGGCAGCCGCCGCCGTCGGTGATCAAACGCTGCCACCTGATCCCCGCCCGGTACCGGGCCGGATCCGCTGGCGCCGGTCCCGGCCGACCCGCTTCCGGCCGAGCGGCGGCGCGGCGCGTGCCGCCCGGCCATCGCCGCTGCCGCCGGCTCCGGTTACCAGCCGACGGCGTTCGCGGCGCGCGCCGCTCGTTTGCGGCGCATTATCTGCGGCGGCGGTGTCGGGATGCGCGGCGTGTCCCGGCGCCGAGCCCAGCCCCTCGCCAGCGCTCCCCCGGGGGGGCCGACCGCGCCGTCGCCCGAGGCAGCAGACCGAGGCGGGGGGTACGCGTGAAGTGTCGCAGCGCGAGCGTTTCTCCTGGTTCCGGCGAGGTCACAGTGGAGATTTCCACTGAAGCCCAGCATCTGGGGCTAGGCCAGTTAGGGTGGCGTTAGCCAGTTGGCAATTGAGACGGAAGCCCAAAATGTCAGTGCCCTTCTGAGGTTGGGGCAGATACCAGCGAAATTGCCAATCGTTAATTGCGACCGACGCGAACGTATCGCTCTTCCTAACACCGGGTGTGCCATGGAAGCCTATTAGCGCGTCACCACCACCTGAGACTAAACCAGACATGTTCCAATCAGATGTCCGCCCATACTAAGCGACCCGCCGGCAACATCGTCCGGCTGGGCAAACGCTGACCAGGTTTCCTTGGGATTGGTCCGGGGATACCACAACCAATACAGAGCCGGCAGCAGACGCAACCAAAATCTGGGGAGTATGTTCTGCCTCGCAGTGCGCAAGCTGCTCCTCCGCTGCACCAAGTCTCGCGCGAGGTCGCAGCCTCAGCCAAGCCCAAACCAGTATACCCGAATGGTCCCGAGGCGTGGCACATCTGCGCTTGACCGGCGCTGGCCGGCGGAGCAGCGCAGCCACGCGGCGCCGCGTGCGAGCGGGACGCGGTGGCGGGCCGACGGGTTCCGGGAGCCGACCCCCGGCCGGCCAGCCCGGCCGTCGCCGCCCGCCCCCGCTGGTCGCATGCATAAGCGCCGGCGCCCCGTGCCCCACCGGCCGTATTTACAAGTTGTTGACAGTGAATTATTGGGACGGGAACCACACCGACCGCCACAGGCTGTTAAGTCATTGTTCTGTATTTGTGCAAGCGGCGTACAGGAACAGCTTCTGAATTGAGGCAGAATGAGACTCTCGTATGCGCTTCACTGCAAGACAACTATGGGTGTGCTTCACAGCATTAAACATCGCTTCCTGCCTGCATATTTGTACCGCTCCAAATAGGTAAGGAACATGTTAGTTGGTGATTAATACCCTTTGGTGTAAGACAAAGCGCGGTGTAATAAACAAATTACGGTGAAAGCCCCATGGGCGGAGGCTGCGGTGGTGCGCGGTAATTCACCACCCATCCAACATCGGTATGCGTTACCAGCTTCGTTAATGAGGTGTGCGCGCCGCCCAGAGCCACGTCATCTTCACCGGCCCGTCATAAGTCCTACCCGCATACCTGCTCGAAGCATACACGGCTGGTACGTACCGGCGCATGAAAAACCCGGCTCGATCCGCTCAATTTTGCCAATAAGTTAGCGTTCCGGCATGTGCTATCCCGCTTCCCTGGCATAGCGCATTCCCACCACCCAACTTCAAATTTTTTACGGGCGTAAGCACTAATCGGCCGACCGCAAGGAATGCCTTGCCATCTCATTCATTTTCTGCACGTCTAGCGAAAAATTCGGGAACACCCAGCCCGGCCGCGGTCCTGAAGCGAGCAAAAACCCGTACATCGAGTTCGGGACGGCCGGCGGGAGCGGGCGCGGCCCCTCCGCCCGCTCGGAGTCATGATTAGCTGTCCGCGCGTGGTGCGGTATGCCCCGCCACCGACCCGCGGCCGGGGTGGGATCAGGACGGCGCGGCTCTGCAATTACCGCCTGTAATGAGCGGTGTCGGTGTCCAGGAGCTGTTGGCTTTGTTTACGGGGCGGGCCGGCCGGCGGTGCGTTGGACAGCTGGCCGCGCACGTTCCTGGAGAAGACGAGCCCTGGAGCTGATTCAGTCACAACGCACGTGCCCGGAGACGGCAGCTTCTGGAGCTAACTCAGTCGGGCCGCACACACCTGGAGCTTGCTCAGTCTGGCTGCACGCTCCTGGAGCTGGCTCAGTCGGGCCGCACGCTCCTGGAGTTGGCTCACTCGGGTCGCACACACCTGGAGTTGGCTCAGTCTGACCGCACGCTCCTGGGGAGGACCGGCTCTGGATCTGACTCAGTTGGACTACGCACTCCAGGCTCGAGGGTGCAGCCTCCGGGTCTGCAACCAGACACCGCGGCTGCGACTCGGACCGTTCGCATGTGACGAGGGTAAAAATCCAACGTCAGGAACAGTAAAAAAGAAGAAACTGTCAGATGGACTGCGCACATGCACACAACCAGGAGCGTACGTGGAACTTCACCAAGGCGAAGGCCGTTGAATTTCCAGAGCAGTTCAGTGGGAAAAACCTTTCAAAACTAGACTGGGTCCTTACCCCAGATCTGTTATGTTTTCCAATTTTAGTCACATGGCTCTGCATGCTCAAAAATGGTGCGTGCTGCAATGCACATGTTTTTTGTTTCAGCGTTTTCGCGCGTCTGGGTACGGCCATACTCCGGGGAGCCTCAGTTATTCTTCATACCGCGGTCCGTTTTGTGGGCCGCGCACTGTCGTTATCCCTGCCGCGATCTGTAAAAGAGGTGGGACTGCGCAGTTGGCGAACATAACATTAGATGACCTGGAGAAAACAGCACGCCACGTCTCCTTGTCAGCAAGTTACGACCAAGGCGACAAGCACCCGGCTGCTGTCGGATCCCCCTCCCCCCCCCCCCCGCCCGCCCGCAGCGGGAGCGGGCCGCCTCGCAGCGGGGCATGAGGCTCCGGTCGCAGCAGCGCGCCAGCGCCGCGCAGCAGCGGGCGGGGTTCGCCTCAGCAGCTGCAGTCAGATCACACTGATCAGATGTGTGACGTCGGAGTGCGCCTCAGCAGCCGCAGTCAGATCACACCGATCGGGTGTATGATGCCGGGGCGCGTCACAGCAGCTGGAGACGTATCACACTGCTCAGATGTGTGACGTCGGGTGCGCCTCAGCAGCCGAAGACAGATCACTTTGATCAGATGTATGACGCCGGGACGCGCCTCAGGAGCTGCAGTCAGATCACACAGATCAGATCTGTGACGTGGGGGCGCCTCAGCAGCTGGGGACAGATCATACGGATCACCCGTGTGGCGCTCGGCTCGTATGTGGTGTGGGACAACTGTGACTGCTGCGCACACAGCATCACTAACTAACTGCGGTTGCGGCGAGTTGTCAGGACAAGGGGAACCAGGGTCCATGAATAATAACGCCCGTTTTCCTTGTGCCTCGGAGGTTGTCCCAGAATCTGTGGTGACACTGTTGTCTCCGAATTTCAGTCGCTCACTTCTGTACACTGTTACGGAAGGAAGCGTGCAAAGACAGACAGTTGCAGGCGTGAAACAACAGGGCAGTGATGAGCTTGCCGGACCGTGCGCTGGTCGTACCACCAGCGCGATCTATTTGAACGCTTCAGCTGCGCCTCATCGCGGCATGGGCGGAAGGG